TTATGACTGGTAACAACCCACATGTGCTTCAAATGTTGATTAAGCTGTGATAAATCCATCTAATGGAATATGTAAAATAAAATGGAACTGCTGATACAACAACATGGATAGATATCAAACGCATTATGCTAAGCGAAAGAAGCCAGACTCAAAGAGCCACCTACCTACTGTATGAGTCCTATTTGTATGAATTTATGAAAAAGGCAAAATTATAGGGACAGAAAACAGATCAATACTAGTTGCCAGGGCCTGGGCAGGGGTTGGGAAGTGGGGGTGGGCTGACTACCAAGGGACAATACTGTTCTGTATCTTGATTGTGGTGCTCCATTTCTTCATTCTTGGACCTCATGTTAATACTTACATTAATTCTCTTAATTCCTTATTCTCTCTCAACTTTGTTCTGATTAGTCCCTCAGCTAAACCTGATCATATCTTCTTTTCAGCCTTCAACCACAATTCTTACTTACCATGAATTAAAGTCACAAAGGTTAGCAATCTCAACTATCCTTAAAGTGCTTCAGAAGAGGGAAAGTCTAAAGCCTCCCTTGGGAAACCTACCAGTGTTTTTTCACCCCAAGAAATATGATGTCCTTATTTCTGTCCTATCAAACTCTTGCTTATCTTTAAATTCTACTTCCTATCTGAATTTATACAAAGACATAGAAAGAGGTCAATTTTTTCCTCACAAAAATCATGTATTAAAGATAAGTATTAAAATTACATTTTTATCTTCCTTCTTCAGGGTACATATCTATGATTCCTGCAACACTGTTTATCACTTAATGTTATACCACATGTTCTCTTAAACTTCTCTGGTTTCTCTACATCTTCCTACAAATAAAGTAACCAAAACAGGATACCAACAAATAACAAATTACGAATAAATACAACACAATACTAACAGGGCCCCCAAAAAAATACCCTTTGGAAAAAAGAGATCAGTCAATTATGTTATGGTCCCTTACACTATGAAAGAAGACAAGAAAAGAAAAAAAATCATGCTCTCAGAACTTCCAAAAGTTAATTCTCTAGTAATGACTTTGTTTCTTCACTAACCAGAAGACTCCAATCTTCACAGCCACTGATGTTACCACCTTCCTATTCCTAGGAAAGAAAAAGCTACCCAACACACACAAAAGGGGTTATTATAAATCCATTACAGCTATCTCTCCCAGAACAAGCAGGTGGCCTTCATAGGGTCTTAAACTTCTTACCTATCATCTCAGCCCTATTAGAGCCCATTGCTGCCAATTAATTGTGCAATTGTTGAAACTATTTCCTATCATCTTTTCTTTCCTTTTAAGTCAAAAGTATCATTTTTCTGAGGGGGGAGAAGAGGGATTAAGGTTGAGAAAAGATTAAGTGGAGAGCAAAGAAAAAGAACTCTATATCTTTAAACTAAATTTAGCTGATAGAATTTGTTTTTCCATAATGTAAGCAAAATATTTACCTTCAAGATAATTAAGCATGTGTAAACTGCAAAATAGGAAGACTTTAAAAAAAATTAGATCAGAAAACCAGACCAAAATACAGAAAATAAAGCTAATGAAAAGAGAGGAGATAAAAGACAGGAATAAAAAAATAGAGACAGACTGTAGGATGCAGAAATGGGGTTGTAATCAAGAAAAAATAGAAATCTGTCCCAAAAAACATAGTGGAGTTATAATTTTGTTTATGTTCCTTTGTAAAGGAAACAATAATGTGGTTGTTTGAAATTAGTTCCGGGGAACAGCAGAAAATGAATGTCAGACCATCAATGCACATAGGAGGATATCAAATATTAAGGGCTTTTATGACAACAGCTTCTGGAAAATGAAGGATTGTGTTAGGAATAAACAGCCATATAAAAACATCTGTAATTCAACAATATGCTTTAAGCTGGCTTTTAAGCTTAGGCTTAGGCTACCTTTCTGGTAGTACACTGAACAGGAAGCTATACCATAAAAATACAGGAAAGATTCTATAAGAGCTACTTCTACCTCTACCCCTTGGACCCATCTGGGTCATGGCAGTAGCTAGCAAAATCCTAAGGGGTTAAAGTCCACCCCATACCCAAAGACCCAAAACTACTCCCACCCCACCTTGGCTCAATGGTTTTCTCCCACTGTGGTGAGGGTGGTTTTGGAAAAGCTCCTCAAATGCCAGGAAACACTGTAATACAAAAAGAAAAAACAATTCATAAGTACCAAAATTTAACTAACATTTTGGCCTCCCTCTCAAGGAAGATTGAAAGGTTCCTAGACTAGTGGAAAAAGCACTAGTCTAGGAACCAAGAAACCAAGAGTATTCTGCTTGTTCAGCACTCAAAGACAGTTGCTGTACTCCAGGTGGCTTTGGAGGGAAGACACCAAACAGTCTCTTTCTGCTAAATGAGCAGACAGTAAGACAGAAGCTACTGATGGCCATCTCTGCCACTAAATTGGCTGAAAATGCAACCACCAGAGAAGCTAAGGGATGGAGAAAGACATTCCTGGTGACAAAATTTAAGAATCAGGCTCCAGTTCTTACTGCAGACATTTTCTCCCTTAAGTTGGTCTGTTACAGGTTTCTGTGACTTGCAAATAAGTCTGGCCAATACACTTAATTCCACCCTGAACCTGGGCAAGTCATTCCTCATTTATCGGCCTTAGCTTTCCTCTTCTACAAAATGGACTAGATCTGAGGTTTTCAACACTTTTTAAACAAAATAATGATTTTACTCATATAAATGTATTTCATAAGGTCAGATTTACTTCTGTCCAAAATCAGTAAGTATAATGGGTATTTAAATCTCACCCTGAGACCGAAAATAAAAATGACTATATTAATATATAAGATTAAATGTGTGATTATGACCAAATTCAATAACAATGATGTGTTTTGATAAAAACAAAGTTTAAAATTGGAGACTAATGGTAAAAATTGAAAGCTTTTACTAACCTTTCAGGATTCAATTTATTTCTGTACTTTGTTTTGGTCGCACATTAGTAAGACAATTCTGATTCAAAGAAGAATACTTGTAAAGAGTAAGCTATGTTCTCCACACCTGCCTTACCCCATGATACTATTTAATTAAAGGTAGAAAAGCTTTAAGTTCTGCACAAAAGAAAACCGGACAACACAATTAAAAAAAAAAAAAAAAAAAACAGGTCTCCAATTGGTTAAAATTTAGTACATAATACAGTTAAGTGTTCATGTATGGGTTTTTAAAAATTTTTTAATGATTTAAACCTCATTTAAAAATGGAATCTGAACCAAATGTCTACAGAATCCAATTAATGCCTTCATAGAACTCTAGTAAAACAGATAATCACTTAAACTCTTAAGAACATTTTCAGTCAGATTTATATATACTCACTGTCCATAGGAAACTAATGAAGCAACTGTAAAGTTAAAATTCTTCTTTTTTTTTTTTTTATAAAAAAGAAAAATTTCACCAACTCCTGGTCACAACCTTGGAGAGTTATGAACACAGACAATAATAAACTGGATCAAATAAGACGACTATTATAATAATCTATTCAATCTTAAGAACCAACTTGACAGGGCAAATCATAGATGGTGCTATAAAACATTCATTATTTAAGAGTGCCTGCTTTACAACAGAAATGAGTAACTTTCCATCTCTAATCATAAATTAACCACCCAGCAGAGGATATTCATTCATTCAACAAGAGTATCTCTTCAGTGCCACCAGCCACTGTGTAACCAACTGGGGCTAAAAAGTGAATATACACATGACCCCTACCCTCATAATTTAGACTTTAACCTAAGGTCAGTAGATAACCAATGAAGATTTTAAAGAGTATATATATGATTAGGTTTACATTTTTGAAAGATTGCTGGCCACTATGTGAAAGTTACCATAAACTGGGGGTAGTAACTCCAAGGATACCAGTTAGGAGCTCCTTCAATAATGACAAAGAAACATTCAAAAGAAGGAACGACAAACTCATTTGAAGTATGTGAGAGGGAAAAAAGCTTCAGAGAAGTAATGCTGCAGTCAGATCTTTAAGGACGAGGAGTAGGTTGGACAAGCAGAAGAAGGGAGTTTGTACATTAAGAGAAGACCATATGAAAGACATGTTTGGGAAACTTCGAGTAGTTCCTCATAGTGGGTCTTGAATGAGGTGAAGCACAGATGAAAAGGCAGATCAAGAAAAATATAGTAAAGGGTATTTTGTAAAAGAAACATCTTCAAAACACTGGGGAATACTTTTAAGCAGAGTGATAACATGACCAGAATTACATTTTAGAAAAATTTTTTTCCAGGGACAGTTAGCTTCAAAAAGACAACAAGAAGTCTAACCATTCAAACAAGAATGCATGCTTGCCAAGAGATACAATGACTCAAAGTCCTAATCTAATAATTTATTGTGACAACCAAATATGGTCCAACCAAGTACTCTGGGCTTAGAAACCAAGCAACTAGTACTGCAGTGCAGTTGACATGGCTCTTGAAACAAAACAAAAAAAAAGATAAAATACTAAAAATGTAATGATGGCTGGAGATAAATGGAATGAAGAAGAAAAAACAGCAACCAAGAAAACAGAGAAATGACAAAGAATTTTATTTTAGGGTGAGAATTACTTCCACTTGTCAATTACACACAAATCCACCTCTTATATGTAATAATTAATAAACTGTGGTTCCTGACAAACAGTTCAAAAACCAAATTTAATTTAATACATACACTTAAGAAAACAACCAAACAAAAACCAGATTAGAAACAACAAACTAAAACAGACAACCAGCTCGACCCTAGCTAGTTTCCCACAGCTTAAAAAGAAAGCTCTCCCTGCCTGGCTGGCTCTTGAAGCATACCAACTAAAATGGGGGTGGGAGTGGGGGCGGGAGCGTAGAATGGGGTGAAGGACTTGCTATTTCACAAATGTTCCTGATCAATGAACTTGAATGATCTCATTCCAATTCTTTCTCTTTATTTAACAGATATAGCTTCAATATAAACATGACAAGATATAATGAAGAATCCAATTATTAAAAAAAAAATAAATCCTACCTTTCCGGGGTCATCCTTGGATCGAGGCACTTTAAGGAAACACTTGTTCAGCGACAGATTATGTCGTATGGAATTCTGAAATTAAAGAAGAAAAGCCATATATCATCATTGGCATCCAAAAACAACACCCACCTTTAAAAACAGAATCAGAAATCTAAATATCTCTATGCACTGGAATACAATTACAAATGGAATGAGCTTTTTAAATGAGCTTCAAAAGTTAAACCTTTTTGATTTTCAAATCATGAATGCTACAAAGGGAAGTAATTATTGGAAAAGAGTTTCTAATGGATATTACCAAACTCCAAATAAAATATGTGTCACATTTTAAATGTTTATTAAGACCTTTTAATGACGTAGGAAGATGCCTATGATTAATGCTAAATATGAAATGCCAAATATAAAATTATACGTATTATGACTTTGTGATTCATTCATTCGTTCATTCATTAATTCTTCGAAACAAGCTAGAGCTATTCTAAATGGAATTAAAGGTGGTATTTCTTCTTTTACTTTTCTGCAATGTTCGAATGATCTATAAAGCGTATGTACTATCACTTTTTAATGAGTTAAAAAAAAAATTCCACTGTTCCATTACAAGAGGATACAGACACCAATTAGGTTCTCAGTGCTATCTGTAAGAAAAAATGGAAAGACACTCGCTACAGAGAGCTAGCAAGAACATTTAGGTTCCACGATGGAGCAGAAAGAGTAACCAACTTAGATGGCAGGAAAAGGAACTTGGAGACCTGGAGAAACTGTGAAATAGGAAATTTTCCATGAATAAGTAGGACTGTACCACAGTTTTTACAGAAAACACCCAAAGGCCATTTCTTCTTAACGAAATGCTCCAAGATCCATTCCATAATTATGTTTGTTCCAAAATGGCCAAGTTATTTGGTGGAGAGATCCTCCAACTGCATTTAGCCACCACTCAGAATTTCGGGAGGTTGTTTTTTGGCATAATGTCTATTTTAATTTTAATATAAAATTCAAAACTCTAACAACAATGCCTATATATTAAAACTTCCCCTCAAGAGGCAATATTGGGATTAAAGAAGTTTTTAAAAGATGAATATAAATTCAATCCTAGCTTATTACCAAAACATCAATTTAAAACATGAATGGGAGTTCCATTTCTGCTTAGGATATAAACAGCTACAAAGAATGATGATCCCTCCCAAACAATGAAAAAATAATGAGTTAGCTAAAAAAAAAAAAAAAAAAAATCATAATTATTTTTGAGCTGCATCAGAGCTGAGGTTGCAAGGCAGTTCCAAAGAATGAAATTTCAAAGAGGGACAAGCCCATACAATGAGAAAGGGGACAAACCTTTTGGCAGAGCATGGGAGAAAGAAGTGGCTACCATGCAACCATCCAAGAAATTAGCTAAAATTTGAAAAGCCAAGCTGGGCTAGTGTGTCGGTTTAGGGCCCCAGACACAAGAGAAGTTCTCACTCACTCTCAAGCTCTTCCTCATGGCCTCCACCACATGCTCACAAGAAAGACTGAGGGTTAAGAAAGAAGACCAAAGAAAGTCTCCTTTATGACATAGGCAAGAAAAATATTGACAGCCACAGCGGGAGGCAAAGCCCCACCCACTTCTATAGATCTTACAAAGCCAAAAACTTAAGTTTGAGGTACAGGAAGCAAAACTTTTCACTCGTAAGACTCTGGCAAAGATTGCTTCTGAGGGAAGAATGGAAACAAAACCCTTCTGCTTCTAAGAATAGGAAACCCTTTCCCAGGACACAGGCAAAGATCTACTGCTAATAGAGGAAGGATAGAAGCAAAATCTTCTTACCTCTAGGACAAGTGTCAGAAACTACCTTGCTCCCAATATCCTATGCCAATATATTATTCAAGGTTGAGGTCAGCTATAGCTGTGGGAGGGGCAGAAAACTCCCACCCAAAAGCAACTACAGACATAAAGCTAGTTGGCTGAAGGAAAGAAACACTGAAAAGGCCCCATTCCCAAGTCCAAGGGCCTGAGTAAGACTAAGGCTGAACAAAGACAACAGAGAAAACCTCTAGCCCCTACCACAAGTCTAGCAGTAAAAACAACAAGTCTACTGATAGAGAAAGGGCAAGAGCATGGAAAGACCCCCATCAGTAGCAAGGTGAGGAGAGACAACTAAAATCTGAAGAGAAAGCAGGAAAACTGAGAAAACCCTATAGCACGTAAGCCCCTCACTCCAACCATAAGGTAATAGGAGCCTACTGGTAGAGGAATATAAAGATACAATGTAAAGGTACACTGAAGGTAAAGATATCAACAACAAAACCCAAATCCAGCTCAAGTACTGATAGACTGATTCAACTACGTACATTAATGACCTTGGACAATAGATGCCTGTCCATTTACAAGTATAAATACCATTTACCTCATTCTCTACCATTCTTCTAGACATATATCTGGTACTCAGTCAAAATCTTAAGACACAAAGAAGAAGGGAAAAAACCTATTGTCAAGAGATAATCAATAAAACCCAACTGAGAGATGATTCAGGTGTTAGAACTATCAGACAAGAACATTAAGATAATCATGACTAATATGCTCAAATGCCAAGAAGAAAAAAGTGGACGACTTACATAAAGAGATGGGTAATTTCAACAGAGATGTGAAAACTATAAGAGTCAAATGTAAATAACAGAAATAGAACACATAACCAAAGATCAAGAATTCCCTAGATGGGCTCATCAGCAGACTGGACACAACTAGGGAAAGGCTCTGACATCTTGAGGATAGATGAACAGAAATCATCTAAACTGACACTGACACACACACACACTTAAAAAAAAAATCATCCAAGGCTGTGGATCATACAAAGTAATGAGTCTCAGAAGGAGAAAAGAAAAAGAACAAGGCAGAAAAACATGTGAAATAGCAACCAAGACCCTCCCAAAAATAATGCAAGACATCAAATCACAGATGCAGGAATTTCAAAGAACACCAAGCAGAATAAATTAAAAATCCACAGACCTATATTCATTACAGTCAAAATGCTTAAAATCAAACTGAAGAGAATATCTTAGAGGCAAAGAGAGAAAAAAATAAAGATGTGCACAGAGAAATAAAGTATGGTACCAAATGGAAACTAAAATCTACAAAAACAAAAAACAAAAAATGAGGAGTTTCAGAAACTCTAAAAATGAAAGTAAATAAAAAAAAAAACACTTTGTTATTAATAATGCCTTAAAAAGATGACTGTCTACAACAAACATAACAATTATAGGGTTTAGAACATGTAAAAGTAAAATGTATGATACTGCAGCATGAAGGGTGGGTCAGAGGAATGAGAAGTTTAAGGTTTATAAAGTTTTTACACTGTACAAAAAATCCTGTATTTGAAGGTAGAATGTAACAAGTAAAAGATGTGGTAAACCATACAGCAATCACTAAAACAAAATTTAGAAGAGGTATAACTAATAAAATAATGGTGGAGATAAAATGGAATCATAAAAAATACTCAGTCCAAATCTAAAAGACAAGAAAAAGAAAGAACCAATCAGACAAACTGGAGTTCATCTACCCATCTTTAAAGTCCCAGATGGGGGCGAAAATCAAGATAGTCAGAAGAAATCAAGACAGTCATATTTTCAAAACGGTTTCAGGGGAAGAACACATCTCTACTTCAGTACCCTCTTCTAAAACGCTGAAATGCTAGAAATCGTCAAGGCTCTGCCCTATGTCCTTTTTTCATTTCTACATTTGCTACCTAAGGAATCTCATCTACAGCCATGGCTTCAATGACTATCTGTGATACTTAAATCTACCTAGATCTCCAAACTAGACCTTTCTCATGCATTTCTAACATATAATTTCAACAGTCTTCTAGATATCTCCAGAAACACCTCAAATTCAACATGTTTTAAACTAAACCAATCTTTAACCCCAGTGTGATCTTCCAGTTTTCCCTTCTCAGTTTAAAGACAGTTATTTCCATAACTGTTCCAATCAGAAATCTCTAAGGCATCTTTAACTACCCCCACCTCCTCATCATCTAAAATAAATCTGTCACCAAATCTTATTAAGCCTACCTTTGATCTATCTATTTTATCCCATCTCTTGTTATTACTCCAGTCCAGGACACCAGTCTCACCAAAACTAGTACAATAGCTACCTAAGAATCGCCCTATACCTTCCTCAATTTGTCCCATCTCCACCCCTCTCTACCTTGCAGGCAGCTGTCTCTTCACAAAGTGAATCTGATGTTACCCTGTCACTTAAAACTTTTCAATGACTTCCCATTGCATTTCCTATAAAATCCAAAATCCGTAACAAAGCCTTGAAAGGCTCTTCATGATCTGACCCTCCCTTACTGTCTATACGCATCCTCTCCCATGTTCTCTCTCACCTCTAGACTTTACATTTATTGTTCCCACTGCAAAGATTACTACCCTCAGCTTTATTTACTTCATCCCTTCATCTGAGTCTACTCAACTTTCAATTTGTCCTTGGTTTAAATATCAGTTCTTAAGGGAAGTCCTTTCTGCTTTCATATATTATTAGGTTAGGGCTCACTGTAATAAATTTCCTTATTGCCCTGAATTTCTCATCACACTTGCAATGATTTGTTTAATTGTCTTCCTCCTCCACATTGTATTCTATACTAAAATGTAAGTAGGCTCCATGAGGATAGGGACTTTGTCTATCAACTCAGAACCCAGAGTACAATGCTTTTCATATGGTAATCGTAAATATGTTTTTAAAAAATACAAAAAGTTTATTTAGAAAGTTAAAAACAACCAGAGAGATACAAAGGCCAAGACATGTGTATTTTCTCTCTCTCTCTCTCTGTCTCTCTCTCTCTCTCTCTCTCAAGAAAAGAGATTACTTCAGATCTCACAACTTGGGCAGACCCTACCTCTAACAACCCCAAGAAAAAAAGTTGGAAGAATAGAGAGGTAGAAATAACTAGGATGGTCCAGGTTAACCTGGAAAAAAATGACCCAGGTTAAATAACTGATCAAGGCATACTGGTTGGCCTTGAAAACACCAGCCCCAAAAAGAGTTTCTCAAAAGTACAATCTACTTGCACTAGAATCACTTGAGATGAATTTAATGCAGATTT